AAGTGTGTATTCTCATCATTTTCTCAAAATTCACTTTTCATTAACACACATCTATCTCATATAATCATCACATTCATTTTTCAAAAGACATGTGCATGTTCATATTCAAAAATATCTTAATTTAGGCATTTGCATTTTAATTTAAAATAACTTTATGCACATTCAATTTTTCATATGCTCATCGAAATTAGTATATGCTTTTAATATTAAAAATTAACCCATATATGTCACACTCACAATAGAAATCAATTTATAATCAATTATTATATAACTACCCAAAGTAGAATTTCCCCCGATTACTTTAAACTTTTGAGAGGTCAAATGTTTATCCCTCAATCTATTAGCTTCCAAGCTTGATTTTTTCAATCTAATAGGTGACCAAGAGCCAAAACTACAATCAACCAAGTTGAATTTCATCAACATTACCATTTCAAGCATTTACACCCTTAGTCCTTTACTTTTAAATTGCCCAATGTTCACTCTATATGAATTGGAGCCTATTTATTGGGTTCATTATCTATCTATAACATCATTGAACAGCCATATTGCCATTAATACCTCAATAACCACAATAATGCCAAATTTAAGGTCCATTTTCAGACATTAATGGAGCCCATCATCCAACAACCACCAAAATTATTTATACTAGGTTTAAATATTCTAAATAACTCTTTTTAACTCTATTTGAGTCAATAAGTTTGGACCCATGCCCTTATGGATCGAAATCACTATCATCATCTAAACCCTAACTAAAATCCTTGAGAAAATGGAAGAGGACAGGAGAAAAAGAGTTTAGGAATCTTACCTTGAATGATTTAGAGCTTCAACCCTTCTCAAATTCTCATTTAAGTCGTGCCCTAACAGAGCAAATGTGAGCTCCTCCGTTTCCCTTTCCTTTCCTTTCTGTTTTTCACATCAATTCGCGTCTAAATTTTTCAAAATTCACACCGTGGGCTTCGGCGCCTGTCCCCACGCACTACGACATGTGGTACAGAGAAGGAAATTCTTGTATGATGGTCCCGTGCACTGTAGCATGTGGCACAGAGGCTTTTTAGCTTGTTTTTCTCTACTTTTTGGTCCCTAAGTGACCTAATTTCACTTTGGACCTAATTTATACCTGCAATTCCAATTAAAAACACTTATTACTCTCCTCTGACCACATACCACATCAACTTACTTAATTATCCTTATTAATCTTATTAAATTAAGGAATTAAGAATTGGGATGTTACACAATAAATTATAACAAACTTGTATAATGCACCCCAACACATAAACATGCACATCTATCACATTTTCAGTGTTCAATCCCTTAATATCAAAACAGAAAGGGAAGTTTTAAATATCATAAACCATTATAAAACTATGAGTTGATAAGTAAGGTCACCATTACTAATCTACCTTGAACTCCCATAATCAAGTTAATACAAAGCTAATCCAATGAGATTGTCAAGTTTGTAAAAACTACATAAAGGAGATCTTAAGTTTTCACATTATAAAATACTTCTATACACTGTCAACATTTACAAATCAGAGTTTAAACCATGTGCAAAATGGGAATCCAAATACCATGTAGCATTTGCAAAATATGAGAGAAAACATTATTTTTGGCAAAAACAACACATGTGCCATAGTGTGCTGTTTCTGTGCTATGTGTTGTGGCGCACTACACGAATTTAATAGCATTTTGTTGTTAAATGACAACATCCAGGATGAACTTTTGATGCATCCTAAATCTTCGTTCGACGTCCGATTGAGGTGATTTAGGTGTTTACAGATAGCTTTCTGTTAGCTCTAGCTAATGGCACATATTTCATAATCAAATTATTTTGCTATCAAAATTTAGATACCCATTACAAATCTTACTATTTGTTCACCATACCACACAACTATGGTGCCCAAACCATAACACAAGTGCCAAAAACTTACACCAATCCTTAAAGCACACTCAATGGACCAATATAGACTCATACAACACACCACAACCAATCATTCACATATATATCACAATTTCAATTCTCAACTCCTTAATTAACAAAAACATGAGGTTCCTCATAAATCCAACATTCAACCATGCCAACTAATTATACAATATCCTACTTGCATTAGTATTTCATCCCTATTAAGCTTTACAATTCTAACAAAAACAACTTAGGGCATAAAATACATTCAAAACATCAAATATGAGTACACGTAGTCAAAAATAGATTATGCTAACCTAATTGGCAAATTAACCATAAAAATACACATAGAAGAAAAATTTAAAGGCATACTGATAGGATTTACACACAGTTCTAGGCCTCTGGTCATTTTTTCCAATCCTAATCTAATGAACTAGGCCCTATAATATTGAAGAATAAGATGTGAGTACAACTACTTAGTAACTAAAGTCATTCTAGCATATATAATTGCATATCAATCAATTATAAATGCAAAAAACAAATAAATAACTTCACATGCATCACATTCATAAATCACAATTATGGCCTTGGCCACACAACTACTAACCATGTGACTAGGAACTAATGTATATTATTACATTTAATTTAAAAATACACATCTTGAGGTTGCAATAATAACAATCATATGCCCCTAATGAAAATATGCCAGACAACAATAATAACAACCATGTGGCTGGAAATAGAATGCATGATTAATACCAATCCTATATCCTCTTGATACCTCTAACATGAAACCAGTGGTTATTGAATAGTTACGTCTATAACCTAGACTAACCTAGCTTTTCACTCGTAAAGAGCTGCCGAGCTAAGGCAAACCCATTCACTCATGATTCATAGTTTCTCCCATACTAACAACCATGGGGTATCTTACCATTAATCTAGCCTCCTCATAAACTAGATGAAACTAGATAGGTTTGAATCCTTCAAAGAACAAGCAAGACAGTCCTTAATCATCTATGAGACAAAAACTACCTCTCGATTCCAATGGTTGGTGCAAAGGCAAGTTTCTGATTCCAACGATAAGCTTCCTCTACCACATGGATTTACTAATCTACTCCTCTTCTTAGGTGAAACTCCCACCAATGATCATGTTATGCACATGTTAGTACTTAATAAGGTTTTTAGGATGTTACACATGAGTGCATGCTAAAACTTATATATGTTGTTTTTGGTCCTTGGGCATGCCAGAGGAGTATGTCCTTAAAAGGTGAGATGGTCCTAACTTTTAAATCAAATAGTGAGTTTCCAAGGTCTTTTACCATAATTTCCTCAAAATACAAGTTCTTGAAAGTGAAGGGAATGGAGGAATTAAAAATAGAGAAACATACAAGAATTGCATAATAAGAGTTAACAAAACATTGATAATACTAATAAAAAGGAAATTATAGCAAAATAAAAAATGGAAAACTGAAAGGAAAAAAGTTGGCATGTTGTTACTATTGTTTTACTAGGAATTAGCACTCTATTAATTGCTCAAGAACTTTGACACTCGCTATTAGATGTGTGGCACGCTAAGGGCTCTGTGTTGAATTATTTGAAGAATAAAGTGAGTTGTGTTGAATGAAGTAAAGGATGATACATGGTCACTGTTTTTGCACTAGACAAGTAGATTTTGTGTTGTTCAAAAAGACTATTTGAAGATATGTGTGTAGGGTTGAAGAGGCCTTGTGCGTTTCATGGCTTATCCTTTTATAGGCATAAAGTGACAATTTATCCCATGACTCCATACTTCATTTTTAGGACACCAGCTTTAGTTTTCTCCTTGACTTCCTCTACTGTTGCTTTCTTGAAATGTTGCATTGCTTGATGAGATCTCCTCCTCAACCACTTTTTTTTTTTTTTAGAAGCTTTAGGTTGGCTTTGGCCAAAATGACTTTTTTTTTTAAACCTAAATAGTTGCGCTTAGGGCCAAAATTAGATTTTAGACCAAATACTCCTTTGTTAAGAAATGTAATGTATTTTTTAAAATGTTAGATATTTAAAAACGTAAGGCTTGCATCTCAAGCTATAAATAATATGTTTTTTTTTAAATATCCTTAATAAATAAATTATTTTATATTTATTTTTAAGTGAAATATTCTATTAAATAAGAAATATAAAAAATGGTGTTAGTTTTAAAACTATTAACTAACTTATCATAAAAATTCAATTAAAAATATCTCATATTTTTAAATGGAAAGGGTGTGTATTTTAAGAAGATGGCATGAAACCTCATATTTTTTTTTTCGGCCGTTGGTATATAGTATAAAAATATAAAACCTCAATCAAGGAAGGTATATGATTCACTCTAATTGGAAGATATTGGTAAAAAATATATTTTATGTTTACTCTTAAAAATAAACTCTTTTATCTTCTGGATTTTGAACTGCAAATGAATCATAATACAAAGAAATTAATAAAAGAGAAAATAAACCACTAATTCCCTTAAAAAAATGTATTTTTGGTCCAGCAAGAATTGACTACCATAGACACGTAGAGGATCGCCGTCATTTGTTATCTTGTGTCACTAACCAGAAGACTGGTTTTGAGTTTTGTTCAGGTATGCTTGAGAGTATAGGATGAAATGAAAAGAAAAAGTGATTAGTGAAATAAAATGGGATAGGATGGGATGTAATGAAATGATCATCAATAAAATAGAGTGGATAAGATATAACAGAATAAAATGAAATGAAATATTATATGATTTTAGAGTTTTATTAAAGGAATAAATAATTTTATTCAATGATTATTTAAGAGTACTTATAAAATTGATAAATTTAATTTATATATAATTATGTTTTTTAGTTTTAGGATGAGGTGAAATGAAATAGTGAAAGATAGGAGTGATTTTATAATAATCTTGTTAATATCATATCATTCTATTTCAACTCCCAAATTTAAGGCTGGAAAAAAAATAAATTTAAAATGGCTAAGATCACCTAAACCATTCCATCCTCTTTAAAAAAATTCTTTTAGATAATGATATAATATTTAGGCAAAAAACGAAAAATAAAAAAGGATAATATGTCAAGTCATCCCGCCCCATTACATTTCTTTGATCCAGAGAAACTCCTAACCATTATTATTTTTTAATCAACAACTCCCAAACACTATCTGAGACAAGGAAAATGGTAGCCACAGACCTCATTGCTTACATTTGACAGGCTGGGTCGCTAATTTCATCGACTACTTCAATCGTCGTCGTTCCTTGCTCGCAAGCCTCAAAATTTAACCTTTTTCTTCAATGTGAGTCTCCTCTACTTCGTTAAACTTCATCTAGATTTTCTTTTTCATGTTCAGTATATATTCTTTCTCTCTGCATGTCTGCTTTTGTGCATCTTCGGGTTGTTTCGTTCTGTGGGTCTTTCATCTTCTAGTCCCTCATATCTGGATTATGTAATCTACTGTTAACTCTTCATTCCTCAACTATCATATGAGGGTGTGAAATGTGAAGTGGTGTTCCTGAGTTCCTTTTGTCTCCTGGATATTTTATCTTCGGGCGGTTACATATCTTCTAGATTATTCTTATCAATCGAGTGATGAATATGAACTTGCATGACTTACCCTTATAGTTTATCATTGCCTGATCTGAACATTTCAACTTCTTCTCTGAAGTGAGATCAGCAAGGTCAGCAACTCATTTTATGCGTTTCGTTTTCCCCTTTTGATTAAAGGCATTGAACATGACTCATTATTTTCTTTTAGCACTTTCTTATTCACCTGGAGGCTATAGCTGTTCTGTGGTATTGGTTTGTGCTGGGGGCTAAATTTGTACTTTATAATTTTCCTTTTACCTGCAGAAAAGATCATTTTTGTATATGCAGCACTAAACAATTAACAGGGAGAATTGGTTGAGCTCCTTGTGTTCTATGGCTTCTTCAATACAGTCTGTTTCTACGGATGAGCCGGTTGTTACTGTGGATTGGCTTTATGCTAACCTTAAGGACCCTAATTTGAAGGTACTTGCATTTATTGATAACCTATTCGAGCCCTTACTTTTAATAATCTACTTTTTTGTTGTGGTGGTGGTTTTTGCTGCTTCTGCCATTTTTTGAATTTTTGCTGCTTCAATACAATCTCTCGGATTTGTGTTTATAGCAAACTCTATATCAAGAGATATTCAAAATTGTTGAATTTTAGTTGTTGGCAGAACAGAACTTATGGCTGAAGAACAGGAGAAGAATGCACTCCAACCCTCTTTACATTTCCTTTATTTATAATGCATTGAACTATTAATAAACTCCCATACAACAAGTTACAAAGCAATCTGTACGTAAATAAGTGACTATCTTTATGATAAAATTATAGGAGAATACTAAAATGTTATTATTGTCATATTACGCGATGATCTTTTTACAATCCTTCTTTGAACTATTAATACTATATTTATGATAGAATCATAGAAATGGCACTAGTTCATATGGTCTTTATCCGTGCTAATGCTTGTCTATCCTGCTTAGGTGCTGGATGCATCCTGGTACATGCCAGATGAGCAGAGGAACCCCATTCAAGAATATCAGGTCTGTACGTGATTTAAAATTCTCAACAAATGATGGTGTATAGTGTAAATTGGGTATACTTTCTTGTTACTGTTTTGCAATTATTTCACCTATCTACCTTATTACTATTTTTATTGTGCACTACCAATTGCAACAGGCTGCTCACATTCCTGGGGCCCTTTTATTTGACATAGACAGAATAGCAGATCAAACTACAGATGTGAGTTAGTCTTTCTCTTCTTATGAAGTATAATTTTGGTATTATAAAACAAAATTGTTCCTGCCTACTAGAATTGTAAGTAAGGGAAACAAAGAAAGGAACTGTAAACTAAAAGTGAATACTTCCATCTTACGATTTGTCTATGCCTTTATATTGTTGAGAAATTATAAGTAAAGGCTTTCTTCATCAAAACTTGAGCTCTGTGTATGATAAATAAATATTATTTCAACAGGTTAGTAGGGATGTTTTTGTTATCAACCTCTCCTCCAGTTAAATTTTATTTTAAGTATACCTTTTCTGCAACAGAGGGTTATGTAATTATTGAAAATCCATGGTAGGAAGTACTTTCATGTTTATAAAAATAGCAAGAAGTTGTATCTTACTAGGTGGCATTGGCTACATTGTACTTTCATGTTTACAGAAATTAGTTTTTTCTTCTGTCATCTGATTAATCTTTGTTGCAATTGTAGCTGATAAAAGAATTTTTACATGTATTAGTTACCGCATATGTTGCCATCAGAGGAAGCTTTTGCTGCTGCTGCATCTGCTCTTAACATAGAAAACAAAGACAGAGTGGTTGTTTATGATGGCAAAGGAATATTTAGTGCAGCTCGAGTCTGGTGGTAAGCCATAATGTTTCAAGAAGGTCCTTTTTCTATTGGCTTGCCCCAAATGTGGAACAAGGCTTTTCTTTGTTGCTATGCCTATAAACCTACAATTAATATCACTCTCCTCTGCTGATGATTAAAAGGATGTTCCAAGTGTTTGGGCATGACAAAGTTTGGGTATTAGATGGTGGGCTGCCAAGATGGCGTGCTTTAGGATATGACATTGAAACTACTGCTCCTTGTGATGCTATATTAAAATCCAGTACTGCTACCCTGGCAGTAGAGAAAGTATATCAGGGACAGTCTGTAAGTTCTCAATTAGTCAACCTAGTTTGATATGCTATCTCTTTTTTGCCCCATGTTTTGGATGCAAACCACCTTGGAGGCTTGTACTTATTGAATTGTTTTGGTTTCTTGCAAGATTATTGATGGTTTCTGACTTTCTCTCTTTTCATGGGCATTGACTTTCTCTAAGTGCTTTCCTTTCTCATTTCTTGGTTAATTGTTACCTATTGAGTGTATTAATTAAGATGAGAAATGATAGAAGGTACTATTTGAACCTTGAGTTACAAATCTGCCAGTCTGATTCGGAGGTTCAGACTTATCTGACCCAGAACTATTTTTTCTGCCTAAGGGCTTCATTAAATGCCCAAATTCAGTGCTAAAACTGAACTTTCTGAATTAATTTTGTTCTGCACTTTTGAATTGTCAAACAGTAAGTGAAAAGCAATGGGAAATTGATTTATAAATCCTGAATGTTGAATACTAAATGCAGTCAGCATCCACAGGTTTTGATGAAGAAATATATGCCCTTCATAATTTGAGAACAAAAGTTTAATGCATTGCTCGTCTAAGTTACATTTCTGTTCAGGTTGGCCCAATCACATTTCAAACTAAATTTCAGCCACATCTTGTTTGGTCCCTGGAACAGGTGGGTTGCATTCTTTAAATGATGTGTTCTCTTTCAAATTAAATGCTCAAAATGCTGCTTGCTCAAGAATTTTCAAGGAAAGGTACATAAGAAAGGGTTCCATTCTTTATATGGGGTGTTGATGCTGTTACGTGCCTTCAAGCACTGATATAGTGTATAGTGATATTAAATATTGTATATAGTGATCAGTGGTTATTTAACATCAACAGGCTGCTCATAGTGGAGGCCAAATTTGTTAAATATAATGAAGACTGGTTTTGTAGTATTAGGAAATTGTAATTTGGTTCTCTGAATACAATTGTTAAATCAAGAACTTTTCCCCTGCTTTTGTGCTATTTGGTACCATCTAAGAGTCTAAGAAGCATTATTAGTAACTATTGATGTATTGTTACATCCTTATGCTCGTGTCTAAAGCATAAATATGTCTAGAAGCTTAGCAATCAATAAAGAGAAAATAATCACAAACTTATCCGTCTCCCCTGATCCATGATGCATTTGAGAAATCATACGAGAGTTCAGGTGCTGAATATAACCAGTGTCCTTATAAGCTCATTGGGAATACCTTTATTAGGCTTTGTGCTCAAAATGATTGTGCTGTGTTTATTAGTTTGGCATTGTTGTGTAACACGAGTATAATGATAATAATTTGATTGAGAATTTGAAATTATGAAGTATTAATATGCTAGAGACATCCATGAGTCAAGTGGTAGTCTTTTTTGAAAAGTTGAACCAACTTTTGAGTTTTAAAAATGCTTCGTGGTATCATTGGGCACTATAGTAGTCTCTTGAAAATTCTGGCCCATGAATATCAAGGAGTACCTTATGTAACTTGTATACTATTCATATTTTACATGCCAGATATTTCCATATTTATTGGATTTCCCCTCTTTTTAGGTCAAGAGAAACATTGAGGAAAAAAGCTACCAGCACATAGATGCAAGATCAAAGCCTAGGTATTTTACATTCTCTTTAGGTTGCTTGAACATTTGAACACAATGTCCCTCTATATGGTGACAAGGGCCCTTCTGTTTTCGTTAATCTGTTTGATATTTTAGCTGCTGGTTACTTGACAGTGGGTTGGGTTCTTTAGAAAAGGAGCCAACCTGACCAAGCCAAGCTTTGTCTCTTGCATGCCCATGGTGTATGGGTCTGAAGTCTGATTTCACTCTTATTTATTAGGATCAGACTGGAGACAGTTATTTATTATGATCAAAAGCCAGGCCTAGCACATTTTGTATTGAATTGTAGATGACTACTTTGAATTTTGTTTTCTCTTGGATGGTATTGTCTTGTTCAAAATCCTCCATTTCGTCAATGCCCAGTCACTGCTCTATACGCTACTCTTTATGTGATTTTACCTTTTCCTAGATTTTAGCTAATTGGTTTCCTTCTCATTCACTCAAATCTATACTCGATATCTGATCAAATATGCACTATTCCTTCACTCTTGCTCTTGGTTTAAAACCTACCAATTGATTGCGCAATGTCAATGGGAGACATGGATTCTTGTGCCTTTTGTCTGTTCTCAAAAAGTAATACATAAATGGTACTTGAGCATGATTTTTCAGTATATCATGGACCAAAAACATTTATATTGTCTCTTGAAATTGGTATTAGTTAATTTTGAATAAATGGAGTAAAAGGGCTTGACGATTATTCTTGTGGCTCAATTTGAGAAATTACTTGACATGAAGTTTTTCTGAGGGGTATGCATTTCTTCAGTTTGTCTTTGGTTGCTGATCATTCCCCTTTAGGAATGCAAGTTATCGAGGAAGCATTTGATAAGCGCACTGAGTTATGTTTTAGTTCCACCGATACTGTGATATAGGAATTGTCCTTTTAGCTTTAGTCGGTTGTTTGATGCAAGAACTTGATTGGAAAATCTTACTTATGGCTATCCAAAGAGATTGGAGGGCTTTGCAAATCGATTTTTGTTGTCTGGTCCTTTCTCTTATTCTCTAATACAAATGATCGTGTTTAATTCCTTCACTACTGCAAATAGTTGTGGTGACGACACTCATATTTATTGTGGAGATTTTATCCTATGGCAGGTTTGATGGGGTGGCTCCAGAACCCCGAAAGGGGATCCAAAGCGGTCATGTACCCGGAAGCAAGTGCATTCCTTTTTTCCAGGTCTTTGTACTACAGCATATTAGTCACTGTCTCTTGCTAGCTACTTCCAGGTTTACGCAGCCTCAAAACACTTCTCTCTGGACCTCTTAAATTCAATGTTATGAGAGAATATTGTTGAGAGTCATACATTTGTCACTTTATCATTCATTTTACTTTAATAAATGAAGAGGTAGCAAATGAACATCCTAGCCGGCATCACATTTTGAGTTTCGGTCTGAGTATGGCGCTCTAGAATAGAGAAACTTGAGGGGACATTCATGCTTGGAATTATTAAAGTCTATTTTTCATGATACCTACTATTATTAAGGTCTTGTTACTAGATTGGCTTAAGCCAAAGGGACTTGAATCTTCTTCCTGCTTCCTCCGATCATTAGTACGTTTTGTTGTATCTGACAACAATGTGCATTTCGTGCGTGCCCATGCTGGTTGTTCTACATGCAGCTGTTGGATGCTTCACAGTCATTGTTACCCGCAGATGAAATTAAGAAGCGACTTGATGAAGAAGGTATGAAACTCCTGTGACATGCATATACCTGCTGATATATTTTGGTGTTAATTCTAGTTACCTTACATCCTTACTGAAATGCAGGCATCTCATTGGACGGCCCCATCATGACTTCATGCGGCACTGGCGTAACTGCTTGCATTCTTGTGTTGGTATCTCCCTCTCTCTCTAAATTTGTCGAGTGAAATGAAATTGTTTGCTGTGGGAAATGAAAGGGTAAAAGGACGGCGAAAGTTGCCTCCTTTGTGGCTTCTTGTATTGTATGTCATGAATTTGAAGAGGGTAGTTTTTGCAGGCTGGACACTCTAATCTATATGTTCTTAAATTTTACTGATTTCTGAATCTTCTTGGAGAAACTGGTAAATAATTTACTATTAAATGCTATTAGTGGTGCTGGTGAGGGTGTAATAGACAATTTTGAATCATGTGAAGAGGGATAGAGGGGGAAAACCATTTAATAAAATTATTGAAAGATATTTTTTGATTAATAATATATCCAAGGATTTAGTTGTTGATAGAGCACAATAGCATCGTTTAATTCATATAACCAACCTCATTTAGTGGGATCGGGTTATATGTTGTTGTTATTGTACTGTTAAATGCTATTGTCTTCATAAGTTTTAACATCAAGAAACCGGCTCCTTATGATTAATCACTTCAACAAAAGGTCGGGTGTGTAATATATCTAGTCAATCTCTTTACGTCAACCTTCATCATTGTCTAAACATGAATTTTCCATTGATTTTCTTCCTTTTATTTACTGTTCCAACTACCAGACAATGCTCAGGCCCCATGAATGGATTAAGCAAAAAATGAGATTTTCTTCAATATTTTGTAATGTCTGTTTTATTGTTGTAATCGTTGTTTAACAGTTTATATTATTTTTTCTACTCTCACAGAATTAACTTGTTCATTTCACTTTTCCCTGCAATCTGTTATTTGCAGGGCCTCCATCGTCTTGGGAAATCTGACATTGCAGTCTATGATGGATCTTGGACTGAATGGGCATTACAATCTGACACAGTCAAAGAAACTTCATGATTGCAATATCACAATTCAGTTAGGAGAAGTTTACCTTTTATTTTTTTTTTGTACTTTCGAGGAGATAATTTTTGCTATTGATGGAGTCTGCTCCTTATACTATTAAAAAAAAAACAAAAATAATTGTAAAGCGCCAAAAAATTGAATGAATGACAGTTATGTTTTTAATAAATAAGTTGGTGTCTTATATGCAAACTGTTTATAGCTTAAATGCCTTATTCACGATTGGAATTTTTGAATTAGTAATTATTTAAATTGACATTTGCAATTTATTTTTCAAGAAAGTTTATCAAGAATTAAACTGTCATTAATTAGTTATTTTGGGATTTAACTATTATTTTCCTATTAATTAGTTATTATAGAATTTAACTGTTATTCTTCCAATCATATTTTCCTGTACGAAATGTTTAATATTCAAATATGGTTGTGGTCAAATCTAACATGTTGAACAAGAATGAATGATTATTTTCCATGTTCAAGCAAGAAAAGGGACGTTCATTTTCATTCCTAACCAAAAAGAACTACCATGTATTCTACAGAATACATGAAAAAAGAGGGGAAAATAAGATGAACAACAACAGCAAGAGAAACATGGGACAGATGAAACAGAAAGAGGTAGGTCCTATAGTCACTGTTCTTTCTTAATGCCTGTCGGAATGAATTGATTAAGATCGTTAAGGATAGAAGGTGTTGATTGAATGTCTTTATGATTTTTCAAGGCCATGATGAACTCTTTTGGAACAAAGCACTTCTCTTCCATGTACATCTTCTCTTCTACTACTGTAGAGCCAATCAGCTTCCGCATTTCTTCACTCCCACTGAATACCTTGTCTTCCTACAAAATTATACCAATCTTAAATTTAACAAGTCCAAAAAAAAAAAAAATAATAACAAGTTCATATAAAATGTAAATCAGTTAACAATAGTAACAAGTCAATTTTTTGTTTCCTGAAACAAAAATATCTATTACCTGCCGAAGATAAAGAGAATATTCCCTACCGAAGAAATACAGTTGGAGTGATTTATGCATATATCCTTTTTAAAAAAAATTAAAATAATTACACTCTTGTTCCTAAAGTCTCGGATTAACTTAATCAGATATTGTTGGTCTTGTTCTCACATCCCATTTAACTGTTTCCTCGAATTACTCTTTCAATATCCTCCCTGATTCAATTGCTAGTAATATTTTATTTTTAATTTTTTTTTTGTAAAACTTATTATCGTCAGTTTTTATTTGTGAGCAGCAAGCAATTGAAACATGTTATCCCCGAAAATATAACATAGAATCTTGAAACATAAAAACATTCAGTTATAATTTTATTCTTTTCAATAACAATTTTTTGGCTTTAAATATTTGCTGAGGCGAGCTATGGACGAAATATGATCAGATCATATATTCTTAAATGGTAGCAAGACAACCTTAAAACCGGATTTTAATAACTAAAACAAGCTCAAACAAACAATGACTCTGCATTATTCATTCTTAGTTAACCTAATTCCGGTAACAACACAGAAAATTAACATCATAGTAATAGCATGAAAAAATAATTACAACAATAGAACAATATCAATAGTCAAATTGAAAATTGAAGCATGCCAATAACCACCAGTGATTAATTAAGAATATTACAAGAAACAGTTTTGAAGTATCATGCATGCAGTACATTATAGTTAATCAAATTCAATCATCAACTGAATATTATATTATGCTAAAGAATTCTTGTTGAAGTTAACTGAACAAGCAATTTACATACATAAGAGAGAGATCGCGCGTAACTACTCCAAAGCTTATCAAGCACCAAAACCTAACCTTTAGACCCGACAATGTTATATAAAAACTTTGTACCATTATTCTGTCAAGTGATTTATGAGTGTTAGATGATGAATCATGAATATACCTGAAGTGTGTTGATGAGTTGAAGCATCCCAACTTGAGCATTCAAGTAATTGACATACTTAGCAGCAGCCTGAAGCATCTCAGCTGTGTTCATCTTGGAGCCACCAGGGACCAGCCTTCCTAGCTCTTGTGTCTTCTCCGTTATCCTTCTCCTCCTCTCCCTCGCCGCCACGCTCTGCGCAGACACCGTCATCTTCTCATTCTTCTTCCTCCCTCCTCCTTCCGCCACCGCCAAACTCTCTGCATTATTACCCACCACCGCAACCTCATCATAATAGAACTCTGGAACACTCGGCACAACAATATTGTTCCCATCCATGAAACCATGATCCGTTGTTGGTGCAATCAAGTCCATCATCATCAAACTCTGATCATACGACAAGTACTTCTGTCGTTTTGGACATGGAAGCAGGCTTTCATACCGATCGTTATTCTCGTACATGAAGGGATCATAGGGAAGAAGTTCATGAGGGTAAACAAAGTTACTGTATGGTTTGAGTGAGTGACAATAATGAGAAGGAAGGAGAAGATGGTGGTTATTGTAGTTATAATCTGGTGCGACAGGTACTTGTTCTTCTTCTGGTGTTGCTTCATGGAAGATACTCGCTTCTAGGTTCATGTCAGCTTGAAAACTACTATCCCAGTTGAAGTAAGAAGTCAGAGCCATCTTAATTAATTTGCTCGAAACGAAACAAACCTGCAAAGAAACGACATATATATAGTTTTAGCAGAAACCTATGATTCAATCACCTCTACTTCAAAATGTCGTATCTGATGTCTGTTAGACATAACACAGAACTAAAAACTGTCAGTATGAAGAAATAGAACACACATATATATATATATATGAAGCAGATTCTAAAGAGAAGTCAGTGAAGCTTAAAGAAGTAGTGTACGTATGTGTAAGAAAAGGGATACTCACCCAGGAAATGTACAGAAGAAGAATCTTAGGTAAAGATACTGAGAGATTATTGGCGTGCAAGAAGAAGCTGAGTGAGAGAGAGGATGTGTTAATTTTGAGAGTGAAGAGAAAGACTGAAGGAGACTAGAGTGAGACATAGTTAATATTGGAGCTAATGAATTAATTTAATTACGGGGAAAAAACTATATAAACCGACTTTGCTCTTAGAGCCTCCTGTTCCTTTGTGGGTCGAGATAATTCAGGGGAGGTTGGAGGCAGTTACGGACGATGTGGGACTGGGCAATTTCGTAACTTTCATTTAATTACTTATTACTTAATTTCAACAAAAAAAATATTATTCTTCTTTTTTTCTTTTTTGTTTCAATCCAAAATATTTAAATTATTTTCTATTCCACGATCTTGTGATGGATACATTATATTTTTAAATATTGTTCCCCCCCTCCCTCCCATATCAAACCCCCCCCCCCCGAAACCGTATTTAGACTCATGACTGTAAGATGTGAATTAACTTACTTGAGATTTTTATGACCATCCCAAAAATATGTCATTTGTAAAATGAGTAGTCTAGTGTAACTGAAATTCTTGAATTTGATAATTGTTGTAATAACAAGCATAAATAGAATTTTAAAAATCAAACGTATTATAAGCATATATAATATATAGCATAACATAGTTATGTTAGTTTTTCTTATTCCTAATACTGCTAATTTCCAAGTTAAAATTTTCAACTATTGAAGGTTAGCCCAAAAAACAAACCGTTTGGGGCTATTTGTAAATTTGATATGCCAAAGCAAAGAAACAAGGAGATGTTTTAAAAAATAATTTAGCTAACATTGATGAAATTAATTAAGTCACAAGCGACGGTAAGTGATCGCGTGGCCTAATGGATAAGGCGCTCGCCTCCGGAGCGGGAGATTGTGGGTTCGAGTCCCATCGCGATCGTTCTCCAAGCAGAGTGATCAAATTTCAAATTTCAAATTTCAAATTAAAAAGTAGCCATCTTTTTACTCGCTGCAAGCCCACAGCAGAGAGGAGAGAAATAAATAAAATCACACACAAAAGCACTAGAGTATTTAGAGATTTTTTCCCCATTGAAAACCTTAGTCACAAATCTAACTTTTCTGTTACGATATTTTTTTACCAGAAAAACTTTTACGATATAAAACTAGCAAAAGAAAATCATCACAAGTATTCATATTATGAGACCAAATCCATGAAACTTTGGAGAGGTCACAAGGGAAAAGGCAAGATATAAATTGGAGCAAGCAAGTTGGTTATTTAAATTGACGTATTAGAGCTTTAATTAATATTTTTGTATAATTATATTTGGTATACTTTTGTTAATAATAATTTTAATTAGCCGCTAAGTTTTCACCCTAATCTCACACAATTTTGACGTATTTATTACACGTTTTTTGATATAGCATTTATACACACACACATATTAAAAGTATGAATACTTGTACGTCAATTAAAACTCACAATAACTTGGTATGGACTTTGAAAATGTATATAAAAGTAAATTATGTCATAAAACAAAAAAAAAAAAAACAAACCATACATGATAAAAGTTACCTTGAAAACCAACAGGTTAATCATGAAATCTCGAGTTTATAAAAAGTAAATTAAGTGCATGCATGTGAATATATAAAAAGTTTTGGCTATCATACGTATAACTTCCCTAAGCCTTTTATTTTTGAACATAAAACCACCTTCTGTTGATAACTCCGTTAAATCATTAACAGAAAAATGATTCATCAGACTTCAATTAATAAGTGGTAGCCAGCGTGGCTTCAATGATACTTAAATTATTTTCTTGAAGACCAAAACGCAGATCATGACATAAAATATGTGGCAATTGACGATCTTCCGCACGTATAGGGCTTGAAGCCATATTCTGTATTTTTCAAAACATAATATCCAAGAAAAAGTTAAAAAAAATGCAATTATCAATATATATATATATATATATATATGCACATCAGCATATGTACCATGTATCTCTTCTGATCCTCATCAAAACGTGCACTCTCTGCTACTCTTTTTCTCACCATTATCATTACTATTTTTTTCTCTTCCGACTCTAACAAATTCTTTCACCGTCCACCTTATTCATCGCGATTCGCCACTGTCACCACTCTACAACTCTTCCAACACTCCATCACAACTTCAAAACGCTGCGTCGCGATCCATATCCAGATCAAAACGCTTCCATCGTCATCACTTCCCATCATCCAACATCATCTCCAACAGCACCGGCGGCGACTACCTCGTACGAATCTCCGTCGGCACTCCTCCGATCGAGACGTGGGTTAGTGCCGACACGGGAAGCGACCTCGTATGGCTCCAATGCTTGCCCTGTTAAACATGTTACCCTCAAAACGCACCGTTTTTTGATCCCAAAAGGTCTTCCACCGACAAAACGCTGTCGTGCTTGTATGTTTACGTGTATGCGGACGATTCGGGAAGCTCTGGGGAATTAGCAGAAGATTTCATTGGCTTTGGAGGCGGGAGTGCTTGGTTTCACGAGCATAAGGCAGTGTTTGGATGTGCACACAAGACTGGGGGAGAATTCTCAAGCGAAGGTACTGGGCTTGTTGGGCTTGGAAATGGGCCTTTGTCTTTAGTTTCATAGTTGGGCCCCCAAATATGTCACAGATTCTCATACTGTCTGGTACCTTATATCTCAAATTCCACTGGGAAGCTGACACTGGGTGAAGAAGCAAATATTTCAGGATCATATGCGGCCGTGACCAGTCCATTGGTTGCTGCACCTGAAGGGTCATCTGGTTATGTTCTGAATCTTGAAGGTATTACCTTCTGTCCATTTTCCCTATATATTTCCTAATGTTTCTATCAACTATTTAGATGATACGGTGTAGGTTCTACACAATATATATGGAGTATAAGAAACGATGAGTCATATTTCTTCGTTTTTTTCACCAAAAATTGCATTACTCATTTAGTGTTGTAAACCGGTCATCATTAAATGAGTGTTTCAACTCGTTCAATTAAATGTTATACTCATGATTGGTTTGATAACAGTTCAACTATAATATTAACAATTAACATTTGAACTAGTGTTTTGATTGATTTAATAACTTCAGTTTATTAATTATTCATCATTTCTATGGTGTGCTTGGAGGGGATACTGAAACATGGTTATGCAACATCGATTCCAAACATGCTATAAAATATAAATAGTGTGTTTTATTTTTATAGATATTGTATATTATATTAACTTTAGTATAAAAGTCAAGACATATTCCAGTAACTATTATTTTAACCATCATTAGACATTATCTTAATGATGGCTCATACAATTAGAATACATAAGTAAATATGTGTTAAAGAGATAAATAATTTTATTACATTTTAAAACTTATTTTATTATAAATAGTTAACATGCTTTACTTTGACACGTGCCTATTTACTGTGCTTGGAAGTTGAAAAAATATACTACCTCTGTCCCAAATTATAAGAAACTTTTAAAAGAATTATCTCAAAATATAAAATATTTTGAGTAGATTAAGGTTTCATTAAATGTGTTAATTCTAAAATTACCCTTTCTCTGTTTACAATTAATTTCCATCTCTACTCAATATATTAAATTATGAATATTATTGAAAGTTTATATTTTTATTTTGAAAAGATAAGGTTGTTAAGTGTATTTAATAAAGTTTATTGATATGTGAGATTTTGTCTAAAAGTGTCTTATAATTTGAGATATAGGGAGTATTAAATTATTAAGTCTAGGTTCATTTATAGCTAATAATTATTCACAAAATACTAAAAACCAAACTGGTTATTAAACTAGTCAAGTCACTAGTTTAAGAGTTAATGATTAAAACCGTAGTTGAATTATGGTTAATTAATAATGAATAAAACATTTCATCAAATTTGGTCAAGACATTGGTTCAATAATTTACTTATGTTCAACTAGCTAGTTTGATTTGGTATTCAATATTATGGTTATTTATATGATATGCTTTGATGTGAAATAGGCATTAGCATTGGAGAAAAGACTGTAATGGTGAGTGAACGAAAGATAGTGATAGACTCAGGTTCCACATTGACATATCTTCCAAAAGCTTTTTACACGGAGGTAGAAGCTGAGGTGAAGGAAGCCATGGGAATGAAACATGTGAGAAATCCTCCTGAGCCGTACAGATTATGTTATGCTCATCATGAGTTTGGCTCATATATCAGGAAAAGCTTCCCTAGTTTTGTGGTTCATTTCAAAGGTGCTGATCTTTCCCTGAGGCCCGATCAAAACTTGTTCGTTCAGAATGTGCTCTTTCACATTCCCAATTTGTTTTGCTTTGCCATAGTTCCCATACATGGACCATTAGCTGAGCTTGGAAATGTGGCTCGGGTTAATTTTCAGGTGGAGTTTGATCTCCCAGCTAAATTTGTTTCCTTTGCTCCTTCTGATTGTGCAAAAGCTCTAGAATTATTATCTTCTGTTTTATCCTAATGTAATCAATCACATGAGATCTTCGACCAAAAGAAAAAAAAAAAAATTAGCCTGTTACACGCTTAAAATTAAGGTATGGGTATTTTAGCCTTGCCAAATAGGCATATGTAAGCTTTAAGTATGTTACAAGCTTAAAATTAACCTATTGAATCTTAGGTTGTCATTAATGTTTTACGTTGTCATAAATATTTTCATATTGTTGCTGAAATTTACATCCGTCTTTTCATCTATCAATTACACAAGCTGAATCTTTCATTTTTCT